ATCTATTTTCATATGTCTCACTTTCATTATCTAAATATCTATATTCTGAAAAAGGAAATGGTGCCATCTATTTATTAATTGCTTTTACTATATTATACTTTGCTAAATTTTGATAAATGAGTTAAAGTAAACTATTTTAAAATATTGTTCACTTTAGAATTGTATAATTAAATTTAAACATAATGATATTTCTTTCTTATTATCCATCCTCTCAATAATGCTTATATTTTTATTATGCATCTTAATAATTTTAACTCTTCATCTTCCATAGAATTTGCTTTTCTACTCACTTTTAATTTCTTATCACTTTCGATTTGATTATGGTCAAAATTAACTGTCTTTACACATGCACAATTTGCTTAACCCATATGACTGTTAAATAATTAATTTATTATTTTAACTTCATATTTTCTATATTTTATTTTATTTATTCATTCACTTATCGAAAATAACATTTTAAAATCTTGTTTTAAACCTACTCTTTTATAATTCTCTAAAATTTCAATTTTAATAATAAGATTTTACTTCATATTTCTTTAATACCTTTTATTCATTATATATAATTAATCTTTATTTTATATATTTTATGTAGATTAAAATGAAATTCATTAATCGATAATTAATCAAGTTTCTCTTACATTTTATTTTCAAAACTAAAGAACACTATCTAAATTAAGCAATCCATAAATTAAATTTATTTATAATTATGATGATGTCATCTTGAATAAATACTATTGTTTGTTTGTTGTTATCAAAATTCATTTGATTCAAATATAATAAAATAATTTCTATTTTTATTTAACTATTTATGCAAAAAAGTGATCAAAATAAAAATTCAGGTTGTTTATGTTTTGGGAAGAAACAAAAGGGAGAATTTCCAAAGACTTTTAAGAAATCTGGAAAAATTCTAAAAAAATATAAGGATAATAGTTTGGATGTATTAGTTTTACATTTCTTTAGATTTCAGATGATGTCATTTTAGAAGTGATGATTAGATTATATATATCTGAGAACAAAGGGAAAGCTATTGAAATGCTTTAAAGATGCCGTATCAATCCAAACTTTGAATCTAATCTTATAAGAAATGATTTGGAATATTTTATCCCATAACTAATAAATTTCTTAGTGTTTCATTAATAACTTTCAGATGAAAGATTGATCTCATTCATTAATAAAGCTTCGCAAATAGACTTTTTTTTTGCTCATCTGGTTTACTTCCAATTAAAAAGTTTATCATAGATTGTTGCTCATAATAATAAAGTTGAACTTAAGATAGTTTAAAAGTTTGTTTAAGAATTTGAAGAAAAAATGTCAGAAAATTATTAAGGCAATTTATTAATAGCAACATAATTCTTAAAGCTTCATCTTGAAGATTCTTTAAAAAGTTCTTCTCTATAAAAATCCATATATTCTTTACCTAGTAAAAAAATTAGACAAGAGGTTTATCAAGGATCTATAAGAGTAAAATCATTTAAATAAAATGAAATAGTATAACTTTATGGAACAAGTGAATGGGAAAAAGAAATATCTAATAAAAGTCCTTCTTAATATTTATTAAGAAATTATGAAGATATTCAATTAGAAGATTATAGATCTATATTTTAAAATGGCTAAGACTTTGAATCTATTGATGCGGCATTCTAATCCAATATAAATTTCTGGAATGATATAACTGAAATTTGCAATGAATTGTCTAAATCTAATTCAAAGACTTTATATTTATAGAGTTTATTAAATAAAATGAATGCTAATTTGCCTGCTGCTGTTTATGTACCATTTGTTAAGAATTCAATTAGAAATTATGCTGTTTTAAATATAGTATCTAAAGAAAGTCGAGTATTTTCGACAAAAATGAGAAGTCCATATAGTTTAACACTTGAAATATACAGACCTGAAATTGAAGTGAATTATAATGAATAAGAATTTTTAGATAAATAAATGTCCTAAGCTATAAAAACTAATGTAAATTATGATCTCATTTTATTAGATGATAAAAAATAATGGAAATTATCAAAGTTAAATAATAATTCAATAAGAATAAAACTCTTAGGTTAATAGAACCTTCTCTTCTGCAGAAGCTCAAAATGCATTTAATAATGAATTCAAAAGTATTAAATTCAATTAATTTAATTATTAAACTAACGAATAAGAATCAGATGGAATAGGGTTATTTTATAATAACCGACAGACTAATAACATTTATTAAGATTCCTATTAAATTAACGATACTAATGAAATGATAGATTAATAGTCTATTAACTAAAATCAATAAATTTCTAATTAAACTGATAATTAATCAAATGAAGAATCTAATGAATAAAATAAAATTTTACAAAAATCCTAATAATTAGAATAGAGTAAACTAGAAATAAGTTCATTTAATAGTAGAGTAAGTTATTTGTAAGATGGAAAAGGATTAGTATTAACTGAAGAACAATATTTAGAAATTAAATAAGCTATATTTGGTGAAAATTCTTTAGCTTAATAAAATAGAATTAAAATGTAAAGTCCTTTTTAAACTTTAAAATCTTGGAAATTAGTTCATTTAATTATTAAAACAGGAGATAATTTAAAGTAAGAACAATTTGCTTTATAACTAATTTGTTAATTTGATTAAATATTTAAAAAAGAGGGATTACCATTATAATTAAGATATTATGAAGTATTATCATTAGGACCTGATTGTGGAATAATTGAAATGGTCAAAAATGCAACAACTATTGATAGTTTATAAAAGAATCTTCAAAAGAAATTTACTTAATTTAGTGATTTTTCTGATTTTTTTAGATCATTTTTTAGAAACAATATTGAATAAGCATTACAAAATTATGTTTAATCACTTGTAGCATATTGTTTAGTTTGTTATTTTTTATAGGTTAAAGATAGACATAATGGAAATATTTTATTAGATGATGAAGGTCATTTGATACATATTGATTTTGGATTTTTTTTATCAATAGCACCTGGTAAAGGAATGGAATTTGAAGGAAAAGTACCATTTAAATTATTATCAGATTATATAAAAGTATTAGGAGGTGTGAAAGGAACATTATTTTAAGATCATTTTAGAAAGCTATTTTATAAGTTTATTATATTTTAATTATTAGAGGATTTAAAGCTTGTTAAAAACATTAAAATGAAATATTATTATTGGTAGATATGATGTTTACTGGTCATGGTACAACACTACCTTGTTTTTAAAAAGGAGAAGTTGCTTTAAAAGAATTAGAAAATAGATTTAATCCAAGGGTAGCATCTGATGCTGAATTATATGTTTATGTTTAAGAATTGATTAATAAATCATTAGATAATTGGAGAGCTAGATGGTATTTATATTTATAATATTTTAGGTATGATAAATTTTAATATTTTGCATAAGGAATATTTTATTGAAATTATTTGAAGCCAAATTTTGCTAATATTTATTTGTATCATAACAAATTATTATTTACATAATATTCATAAAAATAACTACGAAGCCATTACTCAAAATTTTGAGATTTATTTAATCCTTCTTTAATTTAATTCATTGTTTAATCCATAGATTATGCTTTTTTATTATCTATAAACAATAAATCATTTGTTATTTATTAAAATACTAAACGAGTATTTCCAATTGTGATACTATATATGGATTTGTTCATTAATATGCCTTAATGTAATAAAGCTATCATGATTCCATTACATAAAGTAGAAAAAATCTAAAGAAATTAATAATGATAAATACATTAATTGTATTAATTTAAATTATGCAAGATACCCTTATTTATTATTATGGATATTCTTGCAAATTTAGAGCTTATTCAAAAATGCATTTCAATTATTATTCTAAAGATTTGTCTTACTCAAATTTGATTTGTATATCAAGAATAGCCTCTAAATAAATTTTTCTTATACATTAATTGGCTTTTTATGATCCAATTTAATAAGGACCATGTATAGATATTAATACACAATTATCATCCTATTAAAACCTAATTTAAGTGTTTGATTTTATTTGTTTCAAAATTTCTACACTCAACTTTTCCATAATTAATAATTTAATAAATTATTTCTATTATAATATAATTAAGTTAGACATCAATTTTATATGAAATATTTTCATCAATTCATTTAATATGTAAAACCTAAGTTAATTGAGCAACTCTTGTTTCTTTATTATTTAAAAATTCTTAATCTTTAATTAAGTTAGTTCGCTTTTCAGAAACTAATTCTTATTTTACATTCATTAATTTATTTTTTCTTTCTATATTTTTTATTTCTGTCTTGCTCTCTAATTCTGGTTCAATATTGTCACTATTATCTCTAAAATAATTCATGTATGGAAGTATGAATTCAACATTATCAACTCCTGATCCTAAACATTACTCTTTTAATTAAGAATATTTTTACATTCAAAAATCAATTATAAAACTATTATATATCTACAACCAATTCTTTCAGAAACTGATTAATAAGGCAAATTTAACTGTTTAGTAATTGTAAAATTCATTTATCCCTAATAAACAAATTAATCTATTTTTTATAAATTCTCTTCACATAATAATATTTTTGGCATTCCTTATAATATTTTTTCTTTTATTATAAATTCCAAATAAAATAATATTTTAGCTGACTTAATCTATAAATGCCCAAAAGTATTATCAACATCAGCTTTAACAAATAAATTATCATTATTAAAGTATATGCATTTATCAGCCTCAAATGATGCAAAAACTAACTAAATTTGAATAGAATTATTACTCCTTTTTTTTATCTTAACCATTTATAGGTAGTTATTGCTTCTATTTTCTGATTTTTATCTTCATCAACTTGACCCTAAAAATTTTTAAGTTTATTCTTTTTTCCTTCTTCTTTTAATTCATCAGTGTCAATATAAAATAAGACTCTTTATCTACACTATTCAAGAATTGTCTTTCTCTTAGAATTTTTACAAAGCAATTCAGCTTCTAAGATATATTCTCGAGAACATTTAAAATCAGAACCATTTTAGTAATCAAGAGATGGTATTTAAACTTCTGGATTCCAATCAAACTCAACAAACCAATATTCATCAAGTTCGTTAATACTATAGTTATAAATATATGTTACATTGCATTTTTAAACAAGTTTATTGTTTTATGAAAGAACTAGTGATCCTTAATATTATACTTATAGACACTATTATCTCTTTCTTTGAAATGATAGTAAGCATTTTCAATACCATAAATCTTATTAGGATTACTTATATACCTTTAAGTTTAAATCAAAATTGCCTAACATAAATTGTGGAACTTTAAAGTGAACTTTACCTGATATATTTTAGTTTAATAATATCTTAGTTGAATTTAACTCTAAATAAACTTTTAATCTCTCTTATTCTTCTTATATTTGATTTTTTTATATTAAATTACCCATTATTAATAATAATAAAATTATAGAAAATAATCATTTATTCTATCTTCAAATGTAATTAGATTGTAACATTTTTTTTATTCTTAATTAGTTTACTACTAATATTTGAGTTCAAAAGTTATATTTAACTAGATTTTACTTAATTAGTTTTTATTCAAACAATCAATATTGATATTTCTCTATTTATTCTTTGTTCTCAATATTACTATAAGAGAAACTAAAACAGAAAATAGAAAGACAACATAAAATTAAATAGAGATACGTTGTTGATCAGATCTTAAAGAAAATATTTTGATTTATATTTCTATTCATATTCTTAATAATTCTCTTATTAACTTAATCATTTATTTATATAAAGAAGTTTTGATTAAAGTGATCAATATTTATTGAAATTACTTATAATTTTAGTTAACTTTAATTTAAGGATTAAATTCTAATCAAGAAGTTGATTACGCGTTAAAGGGATTGCTTTGCATATTCATATATTCTAATTATTTTTAACATATTAAAATTATTTTTCACTTCAAAATATCTATATATATTTTGATATATTATGGTACAAGAAATCTTTAAAAAAGAAAAAATGAATAAGAATGTCTATTATTTTAAAACTAATTTCTTTAATAATTTTCTTTATTTGTAAATCTTTTTGCAAATCATTGTTTTGGTTATATGAAAGTAAATTAACTGGATTGTAAAATGAAAAATTCATATATAAATTAGAATAAAAAGTTAAAATGAGACTTAAAATAGTTTTAGTTATTTCTTTATGAGAAATTTAGAAATTAATATTATATATAAAAATGGATTACTAGAATACATTAATTGTTCCAATCGATATTTTGGGTGAAATATCAAAAGAAACATTTTAGAAGTATTTATCTATAATATGTAGGGTGATTATGAGAAATATTATTTCTGGATCAACATAAGAATTTGATATTAATAATGGTGTTGTATTTAAAAAATCGATTCTTAATTAATTAGATTAGTCAATGTGTAAAGATATAGGTTGGACTTATGACAAAGATGAAATTCTGAGTTTAATTTATCCTACGTATTTAAAGAATTTATTATAGAAAACTTAATATTAAAAGTATGATAATGTTAATGGTTGTAAATTTATAAAATGATGGAATTTATGAAAAGGTTGATAGTTAAAGAGAATTAATAAGAGGAGAAAAATATTAGGTTGGATTACCTGCAGGAGTCAATAAATAGATAATTTAAATATAATAAGATGAAATAATCATAAATTCTCAATCTTTTGTTATAAAAGAAGGAATGCAAATTCTTTTTGTTAAAAAAATCTAAGACAATACATTTTAATAAATATAAATGATAAATCCAAATGATTGTTCATCTCGCAAACATGCTCATATTAAAGTTTAGAATGGAAGAGTATTTTTGTACGATGGGTATGATAACTAAGTTTCTAAGAATGGTGTGTGGATTTTAGTTCGACATTAGAAATTTTCAAATCTAAATTAATATTGTTTTCAAGATTTTAGATTAGCTATAAAACTGAAGTATTGATGTATAAATTATTAATAATTGTTTTTTAAAGATTATATTTATTTAATTGATGGATAAAAAATATACAAAAATGCAATATGAAATTTATGAAGAATTTAAATCAAAAGTACAAGTCGGAGACTTTATATTAACATAAACTGATAGTTTTCTTTATTCACTTGCTAGATCAGTATTAAAAATTGAATATGATCATTTATTGGTATTAATAAAGGATGATCAACTATTACATATTGGTTGGCCTAAAATAAGGATAATAAATCCGCTTTAAATATTGAGTTAATCATCTTAATATATTATATTTAGACCACAATATTAATAAGGAGAACTTCAAAAATTTATCATGTATCTTCAAACTAGTTTAAGTGCAGACTATGATTATTAAAAACTACTAAAAGGTATGCTTAAAAAGTTGGTTAATAAAATACCTACAGACCCAATACCATTTTAACCTAATCTAAGAACTTCTAGAGTTTGCACAGATTTAATCTTCTATTGGTTAGAAGCTAGTAGTGCTCAATTTAGAGAATTATTACCGAACTACTTAGGATATTTGGATTATCCATTAATTGGTTCATTCACACCTGATGATATTAATACTCTAGCAAAAATGAATGTATTTTTTAAAATCATTCATCAAAAAAAAATCTAAAATCCAAAAAATACATTCGAAAATTTAGGGATAGATTATAAAAATAAAAGTTTTACTCATTAATTTCTTGATGAAATTACTTCTCTAAAATAACTTAAAAAGATTATTAAATTGATCCCATACCCTCAAAGTTTTATAGAGTTATCACAATCAATTATTTTTATATTTTAGCTTTATAACCTCTATAATATGCCAAAAAAGTAAATAGTAAGAAATTTAGTTAAATTTGTATTGAAAAGATATTCAAAAGATGAATTAGATGAAAAAAACTTAAAAAATATTGTCAATAAAGTTATGGTTTTTGTAGATATAACGACTCTTTTGGTCTAACCTTTTTCATTGAGAAATTACATAAAATTAATTAAGGGTTTAGTTTATTTTGCTTTTCCTCAGAACAAATTTATTGAAGATTTGATTTTTTAAAAGATTTTTAGTTTAGTTTATAAATCAAAGTTGTGATTAAATTCTTAATGTTAAAAATAAATAATTTAATACTTTATAATTTTATATATAAGGAATTCAAAATTCATTCTTTAAGTTATTTCTATAAATATATATTTGATTAAGTATTTTATAATAATTATATTAAATAAATTAAAAAAAATAAATATGAAATTTTTTATTCAAAAGAAAATATTATGATGATTTAATAAAGTTATTGATTAATTAACAATTGTATTTATTAAGTTTACTATATTTAAGAATATGCTTCTGAAAATTTCTTTATTAAATCTATAAATTTAGAATATTTTTACAATTTTTAATAAAATATTATCAATTCTAAGTCATATATCTTTAATAAATTTGAAATTTTCTGGTTCCTTAAGTGCTCTGAGTAGATTAAATCTATATTTCAAATGCCATTGTGTATTTGAAATTCTAGAATTATAAACATAAGAGACAGCCTGAGTTTTTAAAAATTATTAACTTTGATATTAAAATTAAATTACCTTATAATTCTAAAGACTCTATTAAACTCTGCATTTTTTCCTCCATCTACCCATAAATCTCTAAGCTATTTGATATTAGTCATTTGGTTTTTTTTATTTTTTAAGAAATTAACAAAATCAACATATCTTTATTTGGACATCATTTTTTAAACTAACTCTGGATTGTTAAAAATGTATGATATGATTGCTTTTGAGTAGTTTTTAGTAATATTTTTAGTATCATTAACTTTAGATGTCTTTTTCTTTCTACTGATTCTAAAGGATTCAGAACTATCACTTGTATGCTTATGTCGCTTGCCTCTTAAATTATTCTTTTTTTTAACTTTTTATGAGGTACTGCTTTTCTCAATGTTGACTACTTCTTCACTCTACATAGAATCTTCTTTAAAGAATTTGAGCTGTTCTTTTTAAAAGTGCTTTTTTCCTTTTATAGATTAAACATGTTTCTACTGCGCAGGTTCAATAGGAAGAAGTTAAGAGGCTAAAGGCGATACTTATAATTGTTAAACATTAACAGATTGCTTTATCTGAGATTACTAAGTATCTATGGGCTTTTGTAACCACAATTTACTATCTTAAGAATTATTCAATAGACATTTATTTTGACTATTCATAATATTGCACATCTCTTATCCATCATTAGAAAATTAAATATCTAAAGGCTACCAAAATAAATTAATACAATAAGGATTGGGTGAACAAGGTTAATCAGTAGACTAATAAAACAGAATTTTTTGAAAAGAAGTTTAAACACCTGTAAAAGGTTTTAATAATCGGAATGGATCTAAAGACACATCAACAGAGCATAGATCTTATTTACTACCGTTTTGGAGTAACATCGATTTTGAGGCTCTTATAAAACCATCTGACATGTTAATTTAAATAATTTTATCAATATCTAATGATAGTGCAAGTATAATTATTAATTCAGGCTTTTCCATAAACTTCAATAAAAACCTATAATGGAATTCTCCTTAACATTTTTTAAACTTGCTTTTTAAACTCAGATGGAATATTTTTCTTAATAATATAAAATGTTTTTAACTCAAATAGATTATTTCATTATTTCTTAAATACTTAGTATTTTATATCCTCTCTATCCTTCGATAATCTTTCTCAAGGCTTTTTTTCTCAAGTCTTACAAATATTCATTTCAAAAGCTTTATTTAATAACATTTTAATAGAAACTTTTTTAATCACTAAAATTTAATCTCTACATTCTGATTTTATTAAAAATATTCTAAATATATAGAAATACAATATAATCAAAAATTTATTATCAATTCTATTTCTATTAATTAATTTTTATTACTTCAAAATGTGGTTTATTAAAACTACTTCCTCTTTTCGATTCCTTTATTTAAATAGGATTTATATTTGAATAATGTTCTCTATTTTAAATTTAGTTTGGGGAATTTAAAAAAAATTATTTTAGTTAAGTTTTTTTATCTTGTGACATCGAAATTAACAACCTATTAATAAATTTGAATTTAAACTAAAAACATGCTTAAAATTTAAAGATCAAAAAGCTGTGATGCTATTCTAATTACTTTGAAAAATCTTGATAAAGGAGATAATTAATCATAATTATCTTTTAGAGTCTACGATAATTCAACAGTGTTAGACCTTATAATTCATATTCAAAAAAGTCAATAAGCAGAAAGTGAAATATAATTATATTTCGAACAAAATATCTAATTTATGGGAGATATGAATTAATATATTGTAGATATTATAAAAAGAACAAAAAATCGTAGCATTGGATATCGAATATTTTAATAGAACTGCTAATCAAAATCGGAGCATATAAAAATACATTAAAAAGGCCATTCTGATATTCAATAAGAAAAAAGAATTATGGCTACTTAAATTCCCATTTCAGAATACTATAATGAAAATATTAATAATCAATCATAAAATAAGGTTTACTAAAATTAAATTAAAAATAAAGAAAATTATTCTGAATATTATGAACAAAAATTCTCATAAGCTAAAGATGATGAGGAACAACTTAAATTATTAAAAACAAATATTCCTTAATACTCCCAGTAATTCTAATAAACTATTATGAATTAAGATTAACAAAACAAATACCCTATCAATCAATACTAGTAAATAAAAGATGGATAAAACATGTATATCATTAGTATTATTTAGGTGCCAATAAAAAGTCTATAAAGAGCTAGAGCTTGAAAATTTGTAATTAAAATAAAAAAACCAAAGTTTAGAACTTATTTTTAAGTAGTTGTAAGAAGAAAACAGGAAATTAAAAAATGAAAATCTTATTTTAAAAAATATACAGAACACTTAGTAATCAAAAGAAATTTCTCCATAATCTTAAAGAATTTAAGACAATAGATTGTCTTAATCTATTTTCTTCACAAATAGTTGTAAACATTAGATAAAAGAACAAAATTTAGAAGAAATCTTGTAATAAGCAATTTACAATAAATAAATAGCAAAATGCCCTCAATGCAAAAAAAAAATCAGCAATAAATTATGCAGGTAAATATAACCTTTAGGTTAATANAAAACTACTTCCTCTTTTCGATTCCTTTATTTAAATAGGATTTATATTTGAATAATGTTCTCTATTTTAAATTTAGTTTGGGGAATTTAAAAAAAATTATTTTAGTTAAGTTTTTTTATCTTGTGACATCGAAATTAACAACCTATTAATAAATTTGAATTTAAACTAAAAACATGCTTAAAATTTAAAGATCAAAAAGCTGTGATGCTATTCTAATTACTTTGAAAAATCTTGATAAAGGAGATAATTAATCATAATTATCTTTTAGAGTCTACGATAATTCAACAGTGTTAGACCTTATAATTCATATTCAAAAAAGTCAATAAGCAGAAAGTGAAATATAATTATATTTCGAACAAAATATCTAATTTATGGGAGATATGAATTAATATATTGTAGATATTATAAAAAGAACAAAAAATCGTAGCATTGGATATCGAATATTTTAATAGAACTGCTAATCAAAATCGGAGCATATAAAAATACATTAAAAAGGCCATTCTGATATTCAATAAGAAAAAAGAATTATGGCTACTTAAATTCCCATTTCAGAATACTATAATGAAAATATTAATAATCAATCATAAAATAAGGTTTACTAAAATTAAATTAAAAATAAAGAAAATTATTCTGAATATTATGAACAAAAATTCTCATAAGCTAAAGATGATGAGGAACAACTTAAATTATTAAAAACAAATATTCCTTAATACTCCCAGTAATTCTAATAAACTATTATGAATTAAGATTAACAAAACAAATACCCTATCAATCAATACTAGTAAATAAAAGATGGATAAAACATGTATATCATTAGTATTATTTAGGTGCCAATAAAAAGTCTATAAAGAGCTAGAGCTTGAAAATTTGTAATTAAAATAAAAAAACCAAAGTTTAGAACTTATTTTTAAGTAGTTGTAAGAAGAAAACAGGAAATTAAAAAATGAAAATCTTATTTTAAAAAATATACAGAACACTTAGTAATCAAAAGAAATTTCTCCATAATCTTAAAGAATTTAAGACAATAGATTGTCTTAATCTATTTTCTTCACAAATAGTTGTAAACATTAGATAAAAGAACAAAATTTAGAAGAAATCTTGTAATAAGCAATTTACAATAAATAAATAGCAAAATGCCCTCAATGCAAAAAAAAAATCAGCAATAAATTATGCAGGTAAATATAACCTTTAGGTTAATAATATCTTGAAATGAAGAATTAATTAGATTCTTTAAAATTAATTTCTGAAATACAAAAAAAATTAGAATCAGCGTTCAATTTAAAATTAATTGAATGCTCAAATTAATTTTGTAATTTTGTATGTATTTGGTAATAAAAATCGTAGATTTAAACACAGTAAGGATTTTTTTGTATGAATTGTTTGTAAAATAGTGTGGAAAATCCATAATTAAAATAAAAAGCTTTTTCTACCCAGGTAGGCAGAAAAGGAACTAAATGATATATTAATTATAATTAAATCTATTACATTTTTAAAGTATATCTGCCGTATTTTTGTACAAACAAATTATATATTATAGACCAAAAAGAAATAATTTTTATATTTATTAAATTAACGAACATGATTGATGATTAAAATATTGAAACTGGAGATTAATCTTAATATTTGAGAAATTATGATAGTTCAAATGCTTATGAAATCAATGGCTTGATGCAATAAGATCATTTTTCTTCATTATATAATAAAGCAATTGAAAAATAGCAAAGAATTAATCAAAAATAGGAGGAGAAGAATGAGGAAATAAAATAAAAAGCAAATAAAATAAAGATTGATTATAATTCATAAAAGATCTTATTAAAGAAATTAGAAACTTAAATTAATACTATTCTTAATCGTCATTAAATAGATGATTAATTGGATTATGAAAGATTTTGCAATGTATTGATTGATTTAGGAATTTCAGCAAAAAATGATCATGTGTCAATTGATTTATGGAAATTATTAACTTTAGGATTAGACTTGGAAAGTGCATTTATTGGATTTGTATTTAATATTCTAGTGATATTATTGGAAAAATAATTAACTCAAAGTTAATCAATAATTTTATTGACAGATGTTATAAATGTAGAATTAGAAGATTAGAATATCCCAAGTTAGGTTATAAATTTTGAAGAATTAGAAGAATTGATGTTGAGATTGACAAATAAATTTAAATTATTGAATGTTAGATTTTCAAATGGTTCTAGAGGACAATCTTCATCAAAAAAAGAATCATTGCAAAGCAATAATATTTAAATAAATTCAAAATAAAGATAAGCACAGGATACTTAATTTTCAGATACAATCAATAGATTTGAAGTGCTTTATGAGCATTCTAAAGTATTACAAGAAAAAAAAAGATAGTTAGAATCGTATATATAAGATGATCCAGAGTGCCTATTTAAGCCTTAATTAACATCAAATTAAACAAAAAGATAAGATACTGTAAATACATTTAATAGATTATATTAAAATGCGGAGGCAATAAAGATCCATAAACAAAAATTGAAAGATAATTTAAATAGATAAAGAGAAGAGGATGAATTAATGGAATGTACTTTTAAACCAAAATTAACAAATAAATAAAGATATTCATTTAAACCTGTAAGAGGAGAATCTGCTATAATAGAGAGGATGAATAAGGCAAGATAAATGAAATAAGAGAAGGAGAATTACTATTGTACTGAATAAACAAATATTCAAAATAGACCTCATTAAACAATTCCTGAACCTTTTGATTTAAGTAAAAAAGTGTTAAATTCCAAGAATATGTTATTAAATGTTGATATTAGAATTTCAAAAAACAGAAAGGCAAGAATTTGTATAAGAGAGGGAGATGATATAGAATAAGTAATTAAAGGATTTGCGAAGGCTCATTAATTAAATTAAGAGTAACAAAATGTATTAAAAGAAACCTTAGAATAATACATAAAATGATAAACTTTATAATTTATTAATTTAATATATAATTATCATGCTTTATGTTCATAAATTTCATCACTCCATAATCTTTAATAAGGATAAATAGAGGATCGATGACCATCAGACCATACAATGGCAACAGCATAGTTACCTTTAGGTTCAATCTTATATGGATAAACCTCTTAATCAAGTTTTTGATTCTAAATATATGTATTAGATATTACTTAATTTAATCTTCTTCCAGTAAATTCATCAACACATAATGCACAATTACATTTAGATCTTAATTCAATAGATTTAATAGGTTTTTCTTTACCATTAGAATCTCTAATGATGATTACTCTTTTTGCAGTATCATATCTGACATTTGGAGTTTAAGTCAAATCAGTTCTATTTAATTCATTAACAACATTATTAGCTAATTATCTATATATATTATTAATAGTGTGATCTTCAGGTAATGTTAAAACAACAGGACTACCCAAATCGGAATATTTTGAAATATCTCCATATAATGGAATAGAAAGAGCTGTTGCAATACCAAATTGTTTTTATAACATATTCATATAACCTGGTCCAAAAGGTCGATGAATATGATTGCAATTTGAACAGACATATTCAGCCATATTCTCAACCACACTTAAAGTAGGTACTTTAAGAACATCAAACATTTCTATTCCTTTAACAACATCTATAAAACTTAATCTTTAAGGAGTAGTAACAATTACTGCTCCATTAAAATTTAATTCTTAACATAAACTAATTTGAATATCTCCTGTTCCTGGAGGCATATCAACAATTAAATAATCTAAGTCTTGCCATTAAGTTTGTTGTACTAATTAAATAACAATGCTACTAACCATAGGTCCTCTGATAATAGCTTTTTAATTGCCACCTGCATATCCATAACTCATGGTTTTAACACCATTGAATTCAATAGGCAAAATTTCTTTTGGTTTATCTTCTGGAGCATATAATTATTATTTCTCCTTTCCAAT